GATAAATTTCTTCAGATATTGCATTACTGCTACATTTAAACAAGATCTTTAGATCTATATCTTAAAAACTGAAGGACTAGTTCGCGTATATACAGAAAAATAGATAGACAAACGAAGATGGATAAATCCACTCAACTCGCCTCTATGATCAGCTAAATATATATTTTATAGAGTTTTCAAACTTTCCTTTTGAATGTTCGTGGCAAAACTAATATATCAATAATGATCATTAGTAAAATATTCACACACTTCATTAAGGCATTAATATATTAAATTATTAGAGTAGCGACACCATCTGGAAAAAAGGGCTTTGGTAAAGCGGTCACGCTTGCCAAAAACACATATAAATGTGCAAAACACATATTCACACATACAAATAATTTAATACAAACATAGCTGAGATGCTTTAGAGGGAAACATTTTAAAACGCAAAGGGCAAAGTGCGCAAAACACTTGCATAAACAAGCTTAAATATCAAAAAGAAAAAGAAACTAACACCGAAAGGATGCCAAAAAAATATCAGCAGAAAATTGCTTAATGCCCAGTGACTGAGCCAGTTTTTTAGCAATTTAGTATAGGTGATACATATATATATAAGCAGACAAATAATAATTTGAAAAATGTATACGATTCGAATTTACTTGTGATTTGAAAAAAGGCAAACACACAGCAACTGCCTTGACATAAGAAATGTTATGTGTATGTGTGTGCATCCTGAAGTGTAAGCAATGACAGCATCAAGTGAAAAAACCAAAAAGTGATTGCTCTCCGCTAACATATTTACATATCTCCACACAAACATGCAAGCATGCGAAGAGAAGCTGCCACGAAATACATTACTTTTAAATAGCACGTATACGCCGGGGTGTCTACTTGCGGTGTGGGCAGTGTTAACCAAAACCAAGCGAGCGTGCACACAATATTTGTATTGGATTACTAAAAGCCAAAATAGAATAAGTAGCAGTTAGCAAAAGTTATCACATACAGTCATACGAACGCAAGCGCAAGAGTCTTCCAGCAAAATAAAATGCAGAGCATGCTCCAAAAAAAAAAAAAGAGGTTAAACTTGAAACCTTTATTTTTTGCTTTCTCTCGTCGCAAAAAAGGTCATCGTCTGCACAAGCGCGCATGCATGTGTGTGTGCAAAGGGCGAGACCGTTGGTTTTTGACAACCTCACGACTGACAAATATTTGTATACATTAGAGCGCTGTCAGCTTTTTTTCCATTTGCGACCATTTTGTTGTTGCGCTTCTAATGCCACATATTGTTTTCAAGTGACAGACAACAGTTGGCCTTTTCGCTACACACGCACACACTGCACACTGGCGCTGCTGTGGACACTTCTCTGCGCTTCGCCAACTTTTAACAAGCCTTTCGCCATTTTGAAACGTTTTATTTGMTTTTCTTTGGCTTTTTTCGCTTTTGTTTTTACTTTTGTGGAAAATAGGTGGTTCACTTCATCTGTCCATTTTGCTTAAGGTTAATGGCTGTCAGAAACTTTTTGGTAGCACTGTCACTTGTGCTTGCTCGTGTGTGTATGTATAAGTTTACCATACGCAAATCAACCGCTAACTATTGGACATGACAAGTTGGCCSTCAGTCGCCGGTTCTTTGATGGGCCGYCTGTTTTGTCAGCTAGCTGTCAGCTTTAATGCTTCACTCGTTTTATTTTAATATTCATTTGGCCTTTTTGATTTCATCGATCGATGACATGTTCGCTCCGAACTTTGGTCTTTCCTCTCAAACACCTCCTTTAAAGAAGATGTGAAAAAAAGTAGTGTCAACTTAATGTCAACTTAATAATCATATTATATTAGGTTAAATAAAGTCTAAAATAATTCACCCGTTAAACAGTAATAGTAGTTTACGAAGATAAATCTTGAAGTCAGACAAACAAAAAAAAAAAAAAAAAAATTAATGTATCATTAAGCCCATTGCAAATGAAATATAAACTACACAAACTTAAAGTAAAAATAGTTTATGGGCTGATGTCAGGAAGAGGAAAAAGTTGGATGTATAGAATTTTCAACGGTAAATAAGGGTATAACTTAATTTCCGGCAAAACTACGACTGATAGAGGAAAAAGTTATATGAGAAAGTTGTAGGTCATAATAGTTTTTTTATTAACACCATTTTTGTATTAACACCATTTTCATACAACCTCAAATTTCTTTTGACAATTTAATATTCAAGTTTTTGGATTTACTAGTTTTCATTTTGTACAAAAAAAAGTCTTTGATGGCATTTGTGGTGAACTTACCCTCTTATGAGCCAGACACAATGCATTTTTTATATATTATATATAAAGGATTTTACGATGTAGTGATCCTTACTCRTTGACGGGCTTTTACAGAAGAAAGCATAAACTCAAAGTTGCAGTGTTTGATACCTTGCCTTTTCAAAAACGAATGTAAGTGTAAAGCTTCGATACTATTAAAGGCAATTTTAAAAGTAATAGATCATGGTTTTTAAAAGTAATAGATCATGGTGTTGCCACATATATAATATTAAGGAGGAAATCTGAATTCGGATTAAATCATTTCGCATTTATATTTCATCTAACTATTATTTCGTAGAAGTAGCTATTTAGTGTGGTCTTTCTTCGTTCTTTCAGAAAAAAAGTTTGTTAGGTAAGGGCTATAAAGAGAGAAAGCAGAACTTCCATGTCGCTGGTTTTCGAACAGTTTTTAATTTGTTTTGCGACATGAAGTCGAGCGTTGATCGATGTCGTAAATTTTCGCTTCGTGCCGTGGGCCGCGTCCCCCATTAAGTATTTCAGCACAACTTCGAGATGCGACCAAATAAAGAGCTTTACCTTAGCGTCGCGGATTTGATTTGATTTTGCCATTCGGCCACTTCCAATCCATGAAATGTTATGAAATTCTCACTGGGCAATTGATAAAGGTAGCAGATTCTAACGCGCTAGTCGACATGCTTGTATAGATGGCCAGGAGGCGCTAGATCCTACTTAATTTGGAATATACCTTGTAGATAAATTTTTCATGTTACCAGTCGCAATTTATTTCAAAAACGTTTTCTTTAAGCGTTCAAGCGCAAATAGCACGAATATACCTAATACCATGAAAAAAGTTCATTTTGGGGGTATAGAACGATCTGATGTGCCTAGAGGAAAGCAAATTAATTTTCAGCATACGCTGATCTTTAAGAGCTGCGTAACTATAGAGGATAATACTTCGCACACAAATTTGCTATCTGATTACTCTAAAAAAGGGTGATGTATATATTTCGATTTCATATAAACAAATGTCTAACATTTATCACTATTTATGCTGGAAATGACCTGACAAGGAACCTATATTGATTTAAATTTTTTACAACTTCTTGACTACAACTTGAGCCTTTCTAAGATCTGGCTCAAAGGCAAAGTGTGATTTTCAGAGGCACTCCATTACCAAATTCCTTATACAAGGAAACTTATGAAGATCTAGAACTCAGTAACTTAATTTCTTGTATATGTAATCAGAACTGCGTGCTATTAAATATAAAACCTTACCAGACTGCCCAAAAACATGTATGGCTCCACAAGGCTAGAACAATAATCGATTCTTAAATAAAAAGCGTTATTTTTATATTATTGTCTCATAAACAAACTTAAAAAAGCGCCTTGTTTTTATAGCAATACTGAATAAAAGCTCCGCTTCTCTATTAAAATAGGTTTTTAAGCGAATTTTCAATYTTTTATTTTTGCTATTTATTATTATTATTCGTTATTTGCTGTTCAATGGTCAACGATTAAACGGATTTTGAGTTTAAATTCAACAAGCGTGTAATATTTGTAAGCCTCATAAAGTTTTTGGAATAATTGAAAATGCATTCTTATTTGAAAAAAAAATACTTTATTTTAATGCAGTAACACTCGAGACACTTCGAATAATTTTAAGAGACCAAGTTGATGTATGGCATTTAAAAATAATAAATAATATTTTTTTAAAATTTATGCTAAAGGTAAATATATTACCGAATTTTATTGTACACAGTCATTAAAGAATTACACAAAATTTCACACTCTTTAAAACGAAAAAAAATGAAAATAACTTTTTGTCTCGCATAAAAATACCAGCAGATAGCATAACGAATTCACCGCTAATGGAGACGCAGTAATAGCATTGACATCACCTATACACTAACCTATATATATGCATATATGCAATACACACGAATGCATTTGCTTATTTAGCTTCAACTGAGGGACATTAATTTGGCAATGCTCAAGCAAATAAACTCAAAGCACACGCACCCACACATGTATGTGTGTAAATAATGCACTGTAAATGAAAAATCAACTGACATTTAAATTTTTTGTTGTTGTTGTGCTTTTTTCCGCCACCCACAACCCCAAACATTTTCCCTGCTTTATTTGTAAAGTTTTTTCGGTTTGCTATAACGCGACTGTTTTTCTACTACACATACACAGTGACACTTCGCATGCAAATGTCCGTCACACTTCACTTAAAGCTCGTAAATAATTTGAGTGCCGCGGGGAGTGTTTACGTGTGGGACATTAAATGTCAGGTGGCAATACGTCATTTGCTGTTGATGCCATCGGTAAACCGCGATGATGTAAATAGTGCAGCGGTGGCAATGAACAGGCACATAAGCAAAATTAAACAAAAACCGGCAAAAAAAAACGTGTGACTATGGTCCGGTTGGGCATAAATACCGCAATGGGATGCGGCAGAAAAACAGAAACAGCAACAAAAACGTGTTTGAAATGTTAACAACTGTGAGCACGCTGGAATCCCGAAAATTATCTTTTTTATTGAGCTTTACACTGAAATTGAAATTTTGCTGAATCCAACAATTGTCTGAATATTTTGACGGCATACGAGTGGCTTTTCGCTTCGCTTTTGGAACAAATTTCTTTTTTTAAGCACTAAAATACTGCTGACGCTCTACACAGCCGCCATGACTTTTAGAAATTACCAAACTTAGCCTACATTTAGGCGTTATTATTATAGCTTAATATGAAACGAAAGTATGCTATGCTCACTATTTTAAAGTCGATAAAGTTTTATTACAAAATTTTTTGAGAAAAGTAGTAGCAATATATAAGCAGGGCGTTGCCAGACCGCTTTGTTTTACAATATAAGGAGTTTTTAATATATGTATATATTTGAATTTTACAATATTCTTTTGTATTATTTATATTATTGGTGAATTTCTCAAGTCATATTCCAAACATTTCCCATTTCTCCTCCAGGTTCCATAGATCCTTCATTTTCTCCTTAAAATGTTTCTTAAAAAGGGCAGCAGATCCCTAAATATGGTGCGTCATAACAAATTCCATCCTCGGTGCATATTAGAAACCCTCCAGAACGAGTATTTAATAGCGAGTATATGTTATCCTCAGTCACCTCTAGAGTGTCGCGCAGCCAGTAGAATACATCTTCGCCGAATTCCGGATAGGTGGGAATGTTCTACGAATAAAAACAAAATTCTTTATTCAGAAAAATCGTTGATGATTATGAATTGATACTGAGCCGATAAATAACAATTTATATATTTGACTCACGTACACATATATATTCGCACAGTCATGAAAAAGTTTTGATATTACTTAACTAACTACTAACTTAAATTTTGCAGACATAATAAAACAACAACAAAAGATTTTGTAAGCTTAATCATGCATACATACTTGATACAAGTATACTCAAAACAGAGGAATCTTATATGCATATAAAAACTATTTAGAATTGAAGTTAGGAAACCAAGTCGCCTAATTTACATTTGTCACACGCGTCAATGAATAAGTGTTTCTCAGCCAGCTGGATATAGCTCGYTCCTGCAGTTGATTTAATTAAACAAACGTGATAAATCACAAGCTTAAATTGCTCTATGAAATGCTGCAGGCATAGATTAGTTAAGGAATGAGCAAGTGATTAATTCAAAAATGGCGTATAGACATTCTAAGCACCAAATTGAGTATCTAACACACACATAGACACACACCGGATGGCATGGAATGCGATACCTACCTGCTACCTGCACACCTGTAAATCTTCCACATACACGTACATACATAAATACAAATATATTTGATGTGTGCTTTGCTGGGTTTGGATTATTAAAGCCGTTTTGCTGAAAAGCGCATCCATATATGTATATATATTTAAACACCCACCCTTCCACAGGCATCCATTGGCCGGAGAAGAGTCGCTCACGCATGGTTATGAATATTTATGAGATCATATATTGTTGCAGTCGACAAGTACAACAAATCAACTGCTAATGGTAATGTCTACTTATTGGGTGCGGAAGTGGCGCACATCACGTTAGTTAAACGCATAAATCCTCTACGCACCATCTACTTGAATTCTATAGTTAATTGCGTATAGTTTCGTATACGCCACGGTGAACCAAAATCTCAGTATAATAGATGATAAGCGTGTAGTGCTAATAACTATATGAGTACATTTTTATAGACAATCGTAGTTTATTTGCAGTTTTATATTCATTACGGACACTGCGGCCAAATGTAAATGGAATTTATTTTACTAATTTATTTTCATTATACTGAGTTCAAATTTCTAGATTTTTCCGGTTAATCTATATATTTTCGCTAAATGTGAGGATTTAGAAAAAWTTCGTTAAAATAATTAATTTTGATAACAGAAACGGGAAAAGGTTAACCATGTCTGTCTTTAGACCTCAAATACTGAATAAAAGGAACTTTGCCTTTCGGGTTTATTCTGTATCTAACGAGTATTGTGTCAGCTATCGGAAAAGAACTTAATAATTAGATATTGATTAAAAGAAAGTCCGGTATAAATGGTGGCATGGGTTACCGGATTTCAAAAAATCGATTT